GCCCTGATTATTTGTTCTCTTTTGCATGCATGCATTTAGTGTGCCGAGTGGCTTAGGAATTTTGTTCTTATTTATTTATTGTTTTTGTTTGTGCATGCATGATACTTGACATTTGTAGTGTAACATGAATGCCCAATTGCCCTATACTGCATCCATGTGTCTTTTACGAAGTAAATGTTTCTGTTTTAATTTGCCAAGTGTTCCCTTGATTGTAATTACAACAAAATAATATTTCTGGACTACTTTAAATTTCTAGACCATTCTAATTTTATTTATCATTTTGATTCGATTTAAGTCCAAAATAGGTTATCATATTTACCCACTTAACTATGATCGTTTATCTTAATTAAGATGTTTAATAGGTGCATTGATTTCATTTATTTTTAACCGTGATCGACTTACTACAGTGTAACTAAAACATTTACAAAAACTGCTCGTTACTAATTTTCGTTTTAGTAATTTCAACTACTTAATTTGAAGCTTAATTTTACTTTCAAGTTTTAAAATGTATAAAATTTTGAGGTCGTTACAACCGGCCTTTTAGTTCGCAGATCTAGCGCTAACTTCCATCATCGCAGATCGATGTTCGCACTTCGATCGTTCACATTTCGCTCGCACTCCACTCTTCGCCAGAAGCTCTTTGCTCGCCGTTGTTCACAAATGACTTGCCAGACTCCCTACTGAACGCAACACCTCAGACTCTGGACTCCAGCTTGGGTAGACGACGGCTCTGGTAGATGAGATGTATAGGGCTAGTTGGGTTCTTTTTTTTTTGAACTCTTTTCCTTTTTTCCTTTTTAGGTTTGATGATTTTGATAACTTGTTCTACGTATTTGTACAAATATAGGCATACACAAAAGAAATTCTGAGCATAGTACACATTTTAAATGAGTTTATTTTTATTTTTTTGAATATTCATTTCGTAATTTATGTATTTGATATTAGTTGAGAGAATTCCCTAAATAGGAGTAAAAACGTTTTGAAATTCCAAAACAGGAGTATCATGTTTTTTATTCCCTGAATAGGAGTAAATTTCTTCCAAGTTTGGCATTACAAGGCTTTTAACATGGCATTTTTTTTTCAAACTTGGCAGATTACTCCTATTCAGGGAATAAAAAACATGATACTCCTATTTTGGAATTTCAAAACGTTTTTACTCCTATTTAGGGTAATTTCTGTTAGTTTCAATGCTTATTTTAAAATGTCATATTCATGCATATTTTAAAAGTATAATATTACAACAAGAGTCTAATTTGTTGCTAAGGAATCATTGTTGCTATTGATCTCAAATGAGCTTTATATTAAACTCAAACTAGTATTCTCACCCGTGCGATGCACGGCTGAAACAGATAATATTGTAGTAATTAAAACAAAAAATTGAAATTCAAAATGATACATCAAAACTTTTACAATGATCAATTCAGCGACCACAAACAAAACCATGTTATTCGATCAACGTAAATTAAAATGAATAAATTTAAATATTTTGTGGTACTTCTTGATAACCATCATTTGTTCCTTCGAGCTTTGATCGTGGAAGCATTGAAGAAGTAAAAAATCCATTATCATCTCTTGAACAATTCTTTTTCCCATCCCATAAAGATTTCCATATCACTTTATGTCTAGCTTCTTCAACCCGTTTCCCTTGTCTCTCTCCTTCTCGGCTGCCCTTCATTGTCAACCTCCCTACAACTATCAAACTAATAAAAAAACACCCAAGCAATCATCGCTTCAATGCATGAGGCTCTAATTTATTTGATCTGAAATCGACCAAACTATCACTTTTAACCCCTATTCCTCAAACCTTATTGCGTATGTATGGCTGCCCGGGAATACTCACATTTCATTTCAATCTTGTACGTGTTACTTCTTAGAAGCTTTATTACAATTTTGGAGTCTGGTAGATTGTTAAATCCCTTAGACCCGTATTTATATAAATAAATACGTAGTATACTTTAGCTTATTACGTAATACTACCAGTGTTCTAAAACACTTCAAAAGGCGGCGACAAGGCGGGAGTAGGCGTGAGGCGCCACCCAAACGCCGCGCATACCCGCTAGGCGTGGCTTAAGGCGTTCCGATTTATTCGAAACACCTAATTTAGCATGCCAGCAGCCATTTCAAAGGAATAAGGCTTGTAATTGGGGAGGGCAGCGGAGTCTAATTTATAAAGCTCCGTAAAGAAGTATTCTTCTCGTTCCACCGGTGTGGGAAAAACTCCCGAGTAAGAATAACGAACAATTTCAAATACGAAGCATTAGAAAAGGTTTCCAAAGTTTTCAAAGCAGCTAGGTTGACTTCGTACTATAGCTATGGCCCACGGTTCCAATTTGTCTCACACCCAATTGTTTTCGTTTATGTAGTATTATTAAAATTATTATTATTCTTCTTATTCTAATGATGCTAAACAAGTAAGCAATCACTTGTTTATTTATTATAATTATTAATTTATTAGTGTTAGTATTATTATTATCATATTATTATTAAAGTTATTATTATATTATTACCATCATCTAATCGTCATTATGTTATTTTATCATAACTATTTTATCACCAAATATGTTATGAAACTAATTTAATGAGACATAATAAAAAGAAAAAATTTGTCAAGATAGTGGGAAAAAGAAGTATTGCTTCGTACTCCATATTAAATTTACATATTTAAAAATAGAAATAATTTCAAATATGTAACCAAAATATATACTCCGTATAATAGATAAAAATGTGACATTGATCACTTTAGTAACTATGATGTTATTCATATGTTATATCATAGTGACTATAGAACTTACTCGTAGTAGCCTATAGTTACATTTTTGTCAATATATACTTTAGTAGTAAGATTTTAGTAAAAACCTTTTAAAATAATTCTAGAAAAACTAAAATAAAGGGAAAAATACTGAAACGCCTTTTCACGCCTACACCTCGCCTACACCCGCCTAGGCTTCAAAGACTTAAGGCTTTGGCGTGCCGTCTCGACACGCCTTACGCCTTTTAGAACATTGGTGCAGACAATTAAATAAAGGTAAAATACTTGAGAATTGTAAAATTGGAAACGGTTGAATACGTAGCATTTAATATTGATGTCGGAACAGTTTTATCTAACAACCCCAATAAACTTATACGTACTATCTTAGTTGGAATTTGAAAAGGCAGAAAAGCTATGCACCGAGAAATGAAAAACCGAAAACAGCAGGATGCACAACATTAAATGCTCACGTGAGAGAGTTCTATCCAGAATTTTCCCTACGAAATTTGCCCTATAATGGTTTTGGCGGGAACTTGTTCCCCAAGAAACCTTTTGTTATTATATTAAGATTAAGATTAAGATATATGAGTATATGCCTAAACAAAATGAACATACTCAAATGCATATTGAGCACATTAAAAATGAGTTTTATGTTAAACAAAAATGAGTATAAAGCCCATAATGAATGAGCAAAAGGTTGCACATGTTAAACACATCATAATCCATTAGATTCACATATTGAAATTAAATGAAATTGATTATTGACATATTAGATTCACGAAAAACTGAAACCGACCGACAAACCGGCCGAAACCGAACTGACCAAAACCGAAACCGACTCAAACCGATTAATCATTGGCGGTTCGGTTTACGGTTTCACCTTTGGGGGTTAAAAAACCAACCAAACCAAAACCGACCGACAAAACCCGACAAAAACATGCTAAAACGATCGAAACCGACACGAACTGACCGATATTAACCGAATCGAAACCGAACCGAAACCGACTCAAGTAGTGCGGTTCGTTTTACGGTTTCACCTTTCCCAAAACTGAAATTGATCAAACCGAACCGACCATACCGAAAACCGACCAAACCAAACCGTCTTTAACCAACTACACATAAATTTTCTTCATACAAATGTCTTGTGTGTATGACATTAGTTCCATTTAACTCTATTCAAACACAATTTATATCGCAAATGTAAATCAATGTGTATAAATTGTCACTTTTAATTCTCGGACTATAAAGTGTGACATTTTTTAGAATGAACTTTAAACTATTGTGTTAAAGATATTATGGTCCTGTCTTTTAATTTTTTCACAATAGTTTTTCGGCTTTTATAAAATTGTCACTTTTACTTTTTCAACGATCATCATAGTGACATTTTTAATCCTCTATTATGATGCCAAAATCATATTGGAAGGATATAAAAGTCGATTTGACAATGAGATGAAAAACATATCTTGCACAATGAGATTAAAAATGACGAAATTAAAAGTTGAATGCAAAAAATGTTAAAGATAGAAGTTACAAAAACTCTTTATACTATATATATTACCTGAAAAGCTTTGTCATCTTTAAACCTTTAACCAATTATATATTTTATTAAGAATTATTTATAAGATAAAAGTATATGAATTTATTATTCAAAAATGCTTGAGGTACACACTTTGTGTACACACTTTGTGTACACTCGTCTGTCTCTTAAGAAAATTTTGTCTGTGACAGACAAAATTTTCTTAAGAGACAGACGAGTGTACCTCTAGCATTTCTCTTTATTATTTGTTTAAAATACTTTTGTAAAAGTATAAAATGATGTTCCAAAATTTTGGGAGGTTGTAGTATTTATTTGAACTTGCAGGATATCATTTTCCCATGACTACTGATGTACCCGAACATAAACATGAAGGAAACCTAGAGCCCGTTTGGTACCAAAATCGTCTGTTTTGGCTGATTCTGCTGAAATTTATGATATTCTGGCTGGAGTGGCTGTTTTGGCTGATTCTGCTGATTTAAGAAAAAAATATTTTAAAAATATATTTTATTAATAAATTAAAGAAAAAATTATATGTAAAAATAGTTAAAATGGTCCTCTACAGTAACTTCAGCCAATACAGCCAGAAAAGTAACTCCAACCTTACTTTTTTTGGCTTATTACACAATTCAGCGCGCGAAAGTAAAAGTTACGTGTTTGGTGAAAAAGCTGGCTGATAAGCCTGATAAGCCTAAAATAGAGTTGTGCAAACGGGCTCCTAATCAGGATGAGAAAGAAATAAATTCGAGATTTAACAATACAAGCTGACGAATTGAATTGGGTTTCAGTGGTTCTCTTCTACATGGCCAATCTGCCTCAGAATCTATCGATTAACGCCGTTTCCTTCGGTGGAGGTCCGGCCTCCCCCTCCCCCTCCGCTGTTGGACTTCATCCCATCAAGGAACGCAAAATGCAATCCGCTGAGCAGCTTGTGCTCGATCTCAGTAACCCCGATCTCCGTGAAAATGCTCTTCTCGAATTATCCAAGGTCGATACGAAGAAACCACTGTTTTACTTGCTCCAAGCTTTGTACATATTGAAAATGTCCAACTACTTCGATTTAGATAAATAAATGTTAACGTTGCACTGCGTCAGATATAAATTGGCAGTCGACTGAAAACTGAGGATAGTTTTTATTGTATCTTTTGTTTGTTTCAGTGACTACTGAGTTCATAATCCCAATAGTTTATTTCTAAGCTTTGAAACTTGCTAAAGGTTTAATTTTTACTCACAAACTTTAACGCAATGAAGTATGCGCACACTATCATTTAGTGAATTGGGTTATTAGTTTTGTTTTCCTTTTTACACGTTTCAAAATTCGAGCACTGTAATAGTAACTGTATTTCCTATATGAATTTCAGTGTAGGGAATTAAGTGCCGTAGTAATAGAATATGGAGTAATGTTTTATTGTACTGATATACAAAATTACTTTCGTTTATTTCACTTTTACAGAAGAGAGAACTATTTCAAGATCTCGCCCCATTACTATGGAATTCATTTGGTACTATTGCCGCACTGTTGCAGGTATTGTCCAAGTACTTCCCCTATTGCAGATAGCCAGATATTGTCTCATATGGCTGAGTTAATTTACATTTTTGCAAAATAAATGAGTTGCATTTGAATGATCAAACCATATTAGTCACAAATTTGCTAACAGATTGTTCTCAAATCTGGACCTACCCTTATTATCGCTTATTTTGAGTCTCTTTCTCTTTTACTCACACGCGCCTATGTGTATACTTTAGAAATACAACCACAAACATATTTATGCAACAACAACAACATTACCCCAGTGCTGCAAAGGCCCCCCCACCTACGGTGGGGTAAGGGGGCGGATGTACGCAGCCTTACCCCTAGGGGTGGGCACGGGTCGGGTAGGGTCGGGTAATTTAAAAAACAATAAGAACCGCCAGTTCCAATGACCGGGTAGGTTCGGGTAAGGTAAAACACCTTTCAATATAGGAACCAGACCTTATTTGCCCCGTTTGGAACAGGCCGGTTCAGTTTGGGTTTTCGGTTCTTAATCATTGAGTGAGCTAAGTTGTTTCTTACTTCGTACGTAGTATTAGAATAAATTGTGCACAAGACAAAACAATAACATAGTAATGATAGGCACTTAGGCAAAGTACACCCGTGTAACTCACTCAATTAAATAAAAGTACAAACTTTAATTGACTAAAACCAGTTACATATGCAACCCGAGTGATTATGATGAAATCTAAGAAAGCTGCTTATTCACCCATTTCAAAAAACAAAAGTTATAAAAATCTTCAACATTCACCAAGGTAATATCTTGATCAAATCTAAGGTTCAAATGACATCAATGCTCCTTCCAACCAAAAACTAAAAGAAAACAACACTTTCAGAGTTTCAGGTTTGAAGTTCCAACAGCTAAGCAACAACGTTCCTCATTGATCGCTGTAAAGAAAAATGACAAGCGATAAGAAATTAACTAACATTGAGGTATAGAAAAGTATAAACTCCATGTATAGTAATTACTAATTACCAACATACAAAGTTATTAACTTACTAGTATACTAATCACAAGGGAAGATTAAACATAAAGATATCATAAGCACATGAGGCCTAAATAAGTAAAAATTCAAGCCATTACTAACGAAATAACCCTTATTTATTTCAAGTTTTCTGCTCATTCTGCTCTGAATAATAAGAAAAGAAAAAAACTACGTATATGAGAAAGCTGCATGCGTATTTCTGCTACATATTGCATAGTTTAGTGTCTGAAGATAACTAAGAAGGTTTTTATGCATACCCATATGTAGTATGTTGGAACCATGAATGTAGTGAAATAAAACATTATCATGATCAGTTTTCCTTAATCTCTTTCTGTTTGAGGACTAGCTAGCATGCAAGGTTCAAAATTGCGTATTGCGTATTTGCGTGGTTGAGGCGGTTTCTTAGCATTGCCTATTGACTATTGCTAAGCCTCAACTTTTTAACAAATTTATTTATATAAAAGAACGAATAATGTAATTCATACTAAAGTAAAAGAATAGTTAAAATTCAACTAGTGTCATAATGAAAACATCCAAAAATGAGGTCATAAACCCATCCAAAAAGTATGGTCGAACATCAATCAAAATAAATAGTTTCTAGTTTATTAAAGTTCCAGTTCTATTAGATCGAAGAGTCCAAAAGCGAATCCGGTGTATCTAGTGGTTCGAAAATAACTGACGTGTATATACTACAGCAATACGGTATGTATTTTTAAAATAAAATTAGTTTAGGGATTCGGGCTGCAGCGGTTGGGCGTATTTTTTGAGGCGCTCCTCATCTTTCGCAACAATAGGCCCAACCGCTGCAGCCCGAATAGGCGGTTTGGATTTTCAGGCGTTTTGGGCGGTTTTGGGCGTAAACCACAGAGCGAAAGATGAGGTTTGGATTTTCAGCAACTTGTTTAAAAACTTAAAGGTTTGGATTTTCAGCCTCAATCAATGTTGAGCGGTTGGTGAAAAGATGTGGATTTTCAACTTCAGCAAATTTTCTAAAAATCAATAGGTATTTTTTGGATTTTCAGCAACTTGTTTAAAAACTTAAAGGTTTGGATTTTCAGCCTCAATCAATGTGTTGGGCAGTTGGTGTAACCGTGTAACTCTAAGGAATAGCATATAGTCCGGGAGCCCTACTTTTCTCCATCAAACAACAGTGCAAAAGATATAATAAATCAAACAGCAGTGCAAAAGATATATAAATCAAACAGCAGCAAGCTAGGTACATTTAAACAAGGCTTGCTGAATCTTGTCAAAAGATGATGCAGCCCAATAATCCGCTTGTTGTGGTTCGTATAATCAAAATCAAAGATTTGATTGAATATTTTGAGATAAAACAAAACAGGGGTTGAAATAATTAGATTAATGATAGAGACCTCCAAGTTATCCAGGGATTTCAGGAAAAATATCAAGAAACAATTGAATTTTATTGATGAAAGAGGATCGATTACAGAGGTAAACAGTAACCAAGGCCGAAGCCCCAAGATGAGCCGTAGCCCCCAAAGAGAGAGAAATAATTCTCAATCTTCCCAGTCCCAAGACCTAAGTCCAAAAGCCTCCTCAACCCTTCCTGGCCCTCTTCTATTTATACTCAGCTAATACACTTATTATTATTAATACTCTAATAGGCCCAGTCCCTTATTATTAGTATTAGTCTATTAGGCCCAGGTTCCTATCATTACTCCCCCCCTAATCGATCCTCTTTCATCAATAAAATTCAATTGTTTCTTGATATTTTTCCTGAAATCCCTGGATAACTTGGAGGTCTCTATCATTGGTATCAGAGAAAACGTTCGTTCCTGGAGACTGAGAATCGGAATCATGGAAACGATGGAGGAATTCGAGATGACACCACGGATGGAAGAGAGTTTTGATAATATAGACAGAATGATGAAGGAGATGCAGTCGAGCATGGCCGCATCGCAAGAAAGGATGAAGACGAGGATGGCCGATATGCAGGCTAGTTTCGCGGATATGATAAACCAACTTACAGATCCTTCGAAGAGTCGATCGCATAAGTCGCACCACTCGCACCACTTACATCATCGTTACACGCGAAAGTCGAGGAGTCCAAAAGAATCTGAAGAGCCGAAGCATCGCAAAATATATGGCGACCGAACCAGGAACAGTAGGCTTCATCCGCTATCGCAGGCAGATTCGCGAAATGGCTCTTCGCAGATTTCTTCGCCTCGCTCGTCGCACAGTTTTTGGCATCGTTCTTCGCATAGCTCTTCATATGGCTCTTCTCATCGCTCTTCGCATCACCATTCGCAAAACTCCTCTCCGGACCTCAGTTCTTGTCCAAGAAAGTCACCAGTCGATTCTCACTGTTCGCTGTCTTCCTCTCCAATCGATTCTCTGAGTTCGCAGACAATTTCTTCTGAAACTATGGTTTTGACAAGAGCAGAAGACTCCAGTTCGCAATTGCTATCTGAGTCACCAGAGTCGCAGTGGGAGTTGGTTAATCAGCAGCAAACGAACACGGAAGATACACACACCGATGCCGAAGAGGAAAGCAATGAGGAATCTTCAGTTAATCTGGGACTTGAAGCTGGGGCAATTATTCGTTCCCTCGCTTGTGATAACCCTTCCAGTTTGAATAACATTAGCAAAGACTGGAACTCTTTTAGAATAAATGAACTTCCTTCATCTGACAGGCTAGGTTGGAACAAAAGAAGTAGGGCTGATGTACTTGGTAAAAGAACTGATTGTGTATTCTCGCCCACAAAGTGTTGCTGGGTTTCTGTGTTGTTTTATACCAGCAAAGATGGTGCAATTTTGAGGATAATTTGGGTTTTTCCACTCTTTGTTTCAAGAAATCAGGTAAAAATGGATTCTCCTTTTGAGAAACAAGCAGTGGTAGAAAGATCTAGATGGAATATGCCTATGGGAGCTGTTTGGTGGAATGATGTTAGGTGTACTCAAAGCACAGCAGAGGATGGCATTGTATTGCTAAAAAGCATTATGAAAGTAAATCACAATTCTGAGGAGCAAATTAAAGTGGAGGTTCAGGACATGAACACCAATTCTGCTACTGTTGTAAGTGTTATAGCTCAGGAAAGCATGAAAACATCTATGGATATGGAAAATCTGAAGTCTGCAGAAACATATGTGAGCTGGAAAGTTCAGGTACTGAAGCTACAAAGCCATCAACCAATCAAGTATTGGGAAGGAAGGGGCGCAAGAAAGAAGAGGAAGCGGAAGAGGAAGATCATAGCGGTTTCCTATCACCCACCTTGAGGGCAAGGTGGATGTTAGGGGGGGGAGTAATGATAGGAACCTGGGCCTAATAGACTAATACTAATAATAAGGGACTGGGCCTATTAGAGTATTAATAATAATAAGTGTATTAGCTGAGTATAAATAGAAGAGGGCCAGGAAGGGTTGAGGAGGCTTTTGGACTTAGGTCTTGGGACTGGGAGAATTGAGAATTATTTCTCTCTCTTTGGGGGCTACGGCTCATCTGGGGGCTTCGGCCTTGGTTACTGTTTACCTCTGTAATCGATCCTCTTTCATCAATAAAATTCAATTGTTTCTTGATATTTTTCCTGAAATCCCTGGATAACTTGGAGGTCTCTATCAATTAATAATTTTAAAAACCTGGAATCTGGATATTGGAACTCTGGAAGCCAGTCTTATCTTCTTCGAATAGGGAAGCTGGAAGTCAGTCGTCTCTTCATTGATGGTCGTCACTTGGTCGACGGTCGACGCGGCGAGCCGGCAATGCTTGTCCCTTCGTCTCTGCGTTGAAGCTGGAAGTTGGAGTTGGGTTTTATGTTCTAATTGGATTCTAAGTTCCGACTTACTACTTTAGAGCTTCAGTACTTAGTAACTCAGTATATTATTATATTAAATTAAATATATAAAACATATTATTTTTTATTACAAAAACAGGCTGGGTCGAGTACCCATTTTTTACAAATACAAGAACCGTTTGGACCCTAAATACTGGAATACCCGCTCCGCCCCGTTTTATATTTTTAAAATTGTAACCTAACCCTAACCCCCCGAACCGGTATTACCTAAACCGAACTGCGGTTCCTCTACCTATTTTCCCACCCCTACTTACCCCTGTGCTAAAGCAGAGACTGTTTCCGGATCACCCATAATGAAAATCACGTTGAAAATTGCATGGATTGACTGATGTTTCATAACAAAGAAGTGCAAACAGTTTAGTGAGCTATTTTGCTTTATTCCATCATATTCCCAAGCAAAATTATCAAGTCTTTGGCTCCAATGGAAATGATGGAAAACCACAAACATATCTATATGTGCGTGTATTATACCTCTGCTCCAAAACTTTCTTCCAATTTCGACATGGCACACTTAAAAAAAAGTGAACTTTCATAAATGTCTTGATTATTTATTATGTGCTTTATGCTTGTATCTAAATATGATTGCAGGAAATTGTTTCCATCTACCCTGTTTTGTCACCCCCAAACTTGACCCCGGCACAATCAAATAGGGTTTGTAATGCACTTGCACTTCTTCAGGTCAGCTGTTTCTCTTTAACATTTCTTAGAGTAGTTATATTCTACAAAATGTGGTAATATCGATCTTGCATAGTATATATTCTGAAGTAAATGTTTTGATCCTTGTATGTTTGAAGCTAAGTGGTCCTAATATCTTTTGTAGTGTGTGGCCTCTCATCCAGACACCAGAATGTTTTTTCTCAATGGTAAGCGTTGTGTTTTTCTTGATTAGTGAAGGATCTGTTGCCTCCATATCTTTTTGGAATACATTCCACTTTTGGTCCTGCAACTATCAAGTCGTTTTCATTTGTAGTCCCGGCTTTCATATTATTCACTTTTGGTGCATGACTATAGATTCTTGCAACTTCCTGTCCTTGTGATCGCTTATCCAGAGAAAGTTCAATAAAAAATTGTATGGAAATTGATGGGATAAGTGATCAGGAGGAACAAAATGACTAGAGATCATAGGCATGCACCCAATTAGAAGAAATGACTATCAGAGACAAAATGTGAAAATGACATCATAATCGTGGGACCAAAATACTTTCTACATTTTTTGCTTTCTACACAATCGCAAACATGTTATGTTTGGCTGGCTTCTCCTTTTAATTTATCGTTAAGCTTTTGTGGACTGCTTCTAAACGGCCTCTTCTTTCTTGTAGCCCATATTCCTCTCTATTTGTATCCGTTTCTTAATACGACCAGCAAATCAAGGCCTTTTGAATATCTTAGGCTTACTAGCTTAGGTGTCATTGGTGCCCTTGTGAAGGTAATCATTTCTACGTCTTCTTTCTTGACATGCTTATTATCTACATGTTTTCACTTTTCATCATAAATCCAAAAGTAACTGGGGAAAATAAAAAATCACGTGTATATTTGCATATGTGTGTGTGTGTGTTTGTGTCCAAACAAACCCTGTGCGAGTCTTCAAAAGTACTAAAAGTACATTGATGTTGGATGCATTTAAACAAACTGAGACTTGTTTCTTTGAGCATTTAGCATCGAAGAGGCACTAATGGCATCAAATGTTGCTGATGTGACACCAAAATTGCTAATTCTTTTCTTCACGTGTTTTTTTACCAATTAATTCTTATGTGGCACCTGATCTCTCAAGTGTTATCATTTATTGTGCAACCGTTGCCACTGTCGCAACCATGTGAACTCCAGTCGTTTCTGATCACGTGTTTTCCACATTAAAAATACGAGGTACATTAAAATAATAATAACCTACACTAAAAATTAGTTACTGCCCTAATAGTTAATCTGCACTGTTTTTCACAGTTGGCCATCCACACTTTGCTACAACATCCAAACCTTATTCCTAAAAGAGTTTGAGGTTGGCTAACATCAATTGACATATGATATCGGAGTTAAAACATTAGAAGAGAAAAAGGGATAAAAATAATTTAAAATCAATCCTCTACACATATTTCCCCCTTCTCTTCACCCTCTACAGAGTTATACTCTCATTTAACCCTCATTAAATCAGTCTAGGTCGTCCCTCCCTCATTTTCCCATCTCTCAATCCTTCTAATAGGTGTATCACTACAGTTGAGACTTGTGCATCTGATCTTCAATAGATGCTACTCCCACTTTTTGCCTTATTGTCTCATTCCTTAATCTGTCTTTTCTAGTATGCCCACACATTCAACGTACCATACGCATCTCAGCCATACATATTTTGAATGTGACATTGTTTATATTGCCCAACACTCAATGTCATACAATAGTGCAGCCTAATTGTTGTTCGATAAAACTAATGTGAGCAGTCACTCTTAGCATCTAAAAATTTGCTCTAACTTAAGAATGTTAAATTTGACAATTTGATAATCAACAACAACAACATCCAAGCCCAAAAGATTTTGGGGTCGGCTAACAATTTGATAATCAACATTAAACAAAAATTAGAAACCAACATCAAGAGAAAACGAGTGAAAGTCTTTAGCTTAGTCAATATTATTTTACATAATTTATTATTGGAAAAAGGGTCAAATAGACCCGTCAACTATCATGAATCCATCATATACACCCATCTACTAATAAAAGGATCATTTAAACACCTTTACTCATTAAAAAGGTTCAATATAGTCAAGAATACCGGGAAGCAACCCCTCTTGACAGGTTAAAAGGAGATTTGACTTTTCTTTTAATTTTTCCATTTATTTCTTCCTTCTTCTGGGTCCGCATCCTGTCCGGCCAGCCTATCCAAAACCAGAGAGGCATACTCCTTTATCCCTGCTATGAACACCACAATCCCAAATTTCTTGCTCAACGATTCGAGAAATTCATCCACAAAGGGTCTCTTCAACAAGTAGAACTCCGTGCGGTCTCTGTCTAGCACCGGGCCTACCAGGAAATCGTACTTTTCCGGTGGGAGGTTGGTGTAGGAATGGATAAGGGTTTCGTCTAAGTCAAGAAAGATGGTGCTTTTTCAGGGGAGTGAGAGTGTGGGAGGGGGTTTCCTCATCGAACAGAGGCTGTCGGAGATCGGTAACTTTCCCCACAATTTTATAGCCTCTTTTTCTTGGGGTTCTCTTTGGGTACCGGAAATGCAGGTGAGTTTGGAGAAGATCTTGACTAGGCGGCCACGTCAGGTGTAGAAACACCTGTTGATGGAGGCAACCACAATGGATGTGACTGTGGCTGCAGCCGGATTCTTGACCGGCGACCTTTTGCGGCCTCGTCGGAGATGATTCTTGTGCGCCACCATGATTCTCCGGCCTGCACGGGTGCACGTTGCGAAGAACATTTGCAGATCCCAACTCTATTGATGAACAAATGAATGAAATTATACACTATTACAAGTAATACATGCAATTTCTAATAAAAGTAGGGTAGGCTATGGAAGCAAAAAAAAGCTCTGCAAAAAGCAGAGATGAAATTTAAGATGTTACTGCAGTTTCCTTGTTCCATGAAGATGCCAACAACATACATCCATAGAGGGACGGCCATTAAAAATGAATTACAAGAAAAGATGAATTAGTAGAAAAAAGATGGGAAACTTAAAGAAGAAAACAAGAAAAAGGAAAAATTAAAAAACAAGAAACAGAGATGAAGATGACGGAGGCTGGATACGTGGGTGACTACGTGGCCTAAGGCAATCAAAAAAGAAAAGGAAAATAAATAAATATGGGAGAGAAGAAGGATATCCGGCTATTACAGGTTGGCTTTAGGTAATTTGACTTAATTGATTGTTTTTTAAAAGTTAATGGATTCATATGATGCTTTTTATAGTTCATGGGTTTAAATGACCAATCTACAATTGTAGAGGGGTCTATTTGACCCTTTTTCCTTTATTATTTTTTATAGTTAATAAATCTGCACTCAAAATAATCTATACGTCGCTAAACAAAAAAGATTGGTGACCGGAAACCTGCGGTCTGCAGAGGAGGTGAGCGACTGTAGTCTCTATGTTGCAGTAGTAGCAACAGTTGCTGCGGCATCACTGATGACAGTAGCAGCATCAGGAATGATCAGATGTGACTTGTGAGATGATGCCACATTAGTACACTACACACACCGAGTCCGAATTGCAAAAAAGAGCCATGTAAACAAAAGTAATGACCACATTCGTATTACATCAGCAATACTTAAAGTCGGTAATGTGTTGATTCTGCTGATTCTAGTGGTACAAAATCACGAGCAAGTTTTACAGTAAAATTTCATGACCCCCTTTGTGCAAATGTGTCAAACCACACACAACTTTTGTGTACTTTTCTCTTAGTATATATTCAACGCATTATGTCTATCTTTTTGTTTTCTTTCCAGGTGGATGACAGTGATGTTATCAATTTTCTGCTATCCACGGAAATAATTCCTCTTTGCCTGCGCACAATGGAGATGGGTAGTGAACTCTCAAAAACAGTTGAGTGATTTCTTGAGACTTGCCTGCACCAAACATAAAAAACTCTTTTCCTTAGCATCACCCCTTGTCATTTTCTGTGTTCTTAACATAGCCCAAAGGATTCATGATTTCAAGTTTTTCTCCCCAACATATTTGGGATGAAGGTGCCCAAGATGATAATGATATTCTTTCAATGGAATCAGTTTTCTAATAAATGTAATAATGTTAAGAATTTGGACTTGTGCATCATTAATATATTATTTGACTAATGTACTTGTGCTAATAATAGGTTGCAACATTCATAGTGCAAAAGATCCTTTTAGATGATATGGGTTTGGATTATATATGTACTACCGCTGAGCGGTTCTTTGCTGTGGGTCGGGTGCTGGCGAATATGGTGACAGCCCTTGCTGAGCAGCCTTCTTCTAGATTGCTGAAGCATATTATCCGTTGCTACCTTCGTTTGTCTGATAATCCAAGGTCGGTCTTCTACTCCCACAAGGCTGCAACCTATAAAAACTTATGGCCAATAAGTTTGATGTTTGCAGAACTTTCTAAGATAAACAAATAATGTGATCGCATGTCAATTCAATCTAATTGAAAACCCTATATCCAACTAGCCCCTTTCCAAATAAAACCTAAGGGTTTGTTCGATAGCGGGTTTCAGAGGGCTTGGTTTATAATGCCCAATAAAACACAATGTTTCTAAAAACGAACGAAGGTGGATTGAAATGTTAGATCATTATCCATTATATAATTTCTTCAACTTTATAAAATCCTTCATCTAAACAGACCCCAAGTATATTAAGAAATTCAAGTCCATATTTGTTTTGTGACTGCAGAGCCTGTGATGCACTCAGAAGTTGCCTACCTGATCTGCTTAGGGATGCCGCTCCCTTCAGTAGTTGCCTCAGAGTATGTATAGTTTGCAGTGTTCACTTAGTTAATTACCTCCGTCTCGAAAAGGTTCGCCATATTGACTTTGCTTGGTGATGATGACGAACTTTGGACAATAATTTTAATAATTATATTTATATAAAACTTATAAGTTTTATACTTTTATGAAAATATTTTGAATAAAGAACATTTTGATATAATTTTCATATTCAAAATAATTTCCTATTAAAAAATATCATAGGTTAAAATTGATTGCCATGGATTAAGAAGAGTCAATTCGGTGAACCTTTTCGGGACAGAGTGTATATAGCTGCCTCAGACTTTGTAGTTAATTCTAATAATTGGTGTACCGTAGGTTAATGTTTCCCTTTTTTGAGGATTACTTATTATATATACTACTGTTTCAGGAGGACCCAACTACCCGAAGGTGGCTACAACAGTTACTTCACAACGTGCAAATTCCCCGGGTTCCTCTACAGGCAGGGGGAGGTTTTGATCATATGCTGATGAACTGAATTAACAGGATTCTATGTCATGATCAGGGATGAATCCTTAATTTATGGTCAAGAGCGCAAAGCATTTTTCATTATGATAGTACTCTATATGTTATTTATTTAAAATTAATAATATAAATTTATTTTTAATAGCATATATCAGGACATTTAATAGGCTTGGGACCGGTTCGGTTTCTAGGCAAAATATATGGAACCGTTTGAAAATATGAAATTTTACTAACGGCTTGGTTCTTATAAATTATTTTGTAGAACTGATAAGGAACTGAATCGTCATAATGGTTCGGTTCTTGTCATTTAACGGTTCCTAGTCTTTAAAAAAAATACTAATCTCGGTTAAATTTATGCCAAAAAAACATTCAACGTTTAAAATTAGGAAAAATTGAAAATAATATTCCCAACTATTGCCGGTCTGCCGATAATAATCCCAACTATTGATTATTTTTGTATAATCCCAACTATATGGACCGTCCGTCAATAATGGTCCATGACCAAATATTACCTCCTATAAAAAGTGAATTTTAAATAGAAATTAAGCGTAAAAATTAAAACTTGGGATTGTTTATAAGGATTACTTGTTATATCTCTTCTCATCCACTTCAGAAACTACAACAATTTATTTATAGGGACCATTATTGGCAGAAGGTCCGTAAAGTTGGGATTATTTTGAAATAATCGATAGTTGGGATTATTATAGGCGGACCGCCAATAGTTGAGATTATTACTATCCATTTTTCCTTAAAATTACAATACAAATATGTTGAACATCATTTCAAAACTCAAAAGTTGAGTTTAAAACATTAATACATAACAAACTTGAAATTTTAGTAAATAAAATAGTTAATGTAATATAAAAATAAATACTGATTTTCGGACCTAATAACTAATAAGGATGTTTTTACTTGGACTGTAATTTGCTGGTCTGAACTGGTCTGGTCTGGTAAGGTCTGGTTTCTTTGTATTTTTATAACTATCCAAATCTGGTCTGGTCTGAACTGGTCTGGTCTGGGACAAATTACAGTCCAAGTAAAAACATCCTAAGAGGCCGAACTCCTAAAAATACCAAGAGACCTGGTTAAAATGAATAGTAATTTTAAATAATTATATAACTAAACTAAAATGGTGAATGCAATATAAAAATAAATGAGTAAATATACATTAAAATATGTATACTAATAAGAAATATATATATAATTTTAATTATTACTACGAGAACCAAATCATTAATAAAAAATAGGAATCGAACAATTAACAAATAACTACTCCGTATTCTGACATTCTGTTGTAAAAGTTGGAACCGAACCGAACCGGGTCATAACGGTTCGGTTTGATTCGGTTCTCCGGTTCTTGAGTCTAAAGTCCCAGCGTACAACTTGACATTACAATAAGAAAAAAAGAGTAAGTAAGTTATCATCATAGAAGTGATCTAGAAACTTCATTGATAAATTAAACGTCTAGGTGATATCACATCAAAGAAAAAATTGTTTGATTTTAAAAAATTAGCCGGGAGCGATATCAATAGTTTAAATCACATTTGTTTTGTTCAACTACATAAGTCTTTAAATGAAGAATCAAAATATTCAATTGTTTTGCTTAATTTGGTGTTTGCAGCCTGCGAAGTGTTTGTGATTTTAGAAGAGTACATATGATATTATTGAATTTACTCATATGTTGTTGTATGTTAGTGTTAAGTTTTTTTTTTTGGGAAAAATGTTATTGTTAAGTTATGTTCGATATGTATACGTTGTGTCATATAATTTAGTGTTAATATATTTGACCGTGTAATGCTTATCAAATAATGCATTTAAAGAAAAGACAGAAATAATATTTACTATGCCACTATTTGAAATATTACAGTTTATTCACTCGTCAACGGTCCACCTCATGTTTATGCAAGTATATTGACTATTAATTACCTCGTTCTAAGGTTTTGAATATTTCTTGATATTTTATAATGAAAATTTTATAAATATCAACATTTGATATACTAATTTTAAATACACAAGTCTTTCTAGTATTATTTGTTCAAGTCAAGGAATTAATAAAATTTAAGTTTATGAGATCAACATAAAATTGTAAAACCAAATTAAACTTTTTTTTTCTTTTTCCGCTTAAAATGTTAATCGAGCAAATAGGAAAATTAGAAATACAAAAACGCTCAGATTAGAAGTCTTTAGACCCTTTTTAATTTTAAGGTATTAAGAGTTCAAATGTTAAAATGAAAGGGGATGAGGTAGGGAGTGGGCCCCAACAAATAAACCTTTTTTATAGTTATTACTACGTATAATTTTTTATTTGTAAATCAATTTTTACAAAAATATATATTGAAATGCATGTTTTTATTATTCTTCATATGAGATCAATAACCATACTCTACTTGAACCTGTTTTACATTTTATCAACCCGAATATACAAAACTAATGAAATTTTTATTTTTGACATCTAAATGTGTATTTCTTAATTTGATATTTTATTGAGGAAAAAATCAAAGAAAAACATTACTTATAGTAATTTAATTAATGTTTTATTAAAATGAAATGCAAGTATGTAAAATGTATTTTATTGATGGTGCTACAATGTAGGGAGAAATTATATTGACAGAGTCTATAAATTGTTGTGATATTAGTGAAGTTCATATTTAAATTTTTAGACATGTTAGGGATGCGGAAATATGAAATAAATTCAAAGACTATTCGTAGTGCTTTAAGGATGTTTTTATTTGGACTGTAATTTGTCTCAGACTAGACCAGACTTGGGTATTATAAAAATACAAAAAAATCAGACCGGACCAATTCAGACCAGACCAGCAAATTACAGCACTAAGTAAAAACATCCTAAGTTGACTTATGTGCTTTAAAATATTGCCAAGGATCTTCGTAGTACTATGCGCACAAGTCTAAGGGAGTGTTTGTATAATTGACAAGTTTAAAATATTGCCAAGGATCTTCGTAGTACTATGCGCACAATTCAGACCATAAAAGTGTTTTTTTTGGAGTGATTGGGAAAAATTGATAAGTAGTAAAAATTGAGTGTTTGAGAAAAAAGTGATTTTGAAAAGTAAAAGTTGGTAGTGTTTGGTAAACTAAGTGTTTTTTGTGTAATAGAAAAGGGAAAAACATTTTTCACACGCAAGCCGAGAAAAAGTAAAAATTGGTAGTGTTTGATAAATAAGTGTTTTTTTAAGCCAAAAACTGAAAAATGTTTTTTTAAGCTATTGCAAACACTCCCTAAGAATATTAGGGGAAAAGATGTTAGCGCATTTCCAAAAGGTTACCTATTCGTAGAAATATATTTATGTTACAATTCTGAATTCATGTGATTCTTGGATTTAGAAATGAGTTGAATGTTTTTTAAAGGATGTATGTGGCCATATTATTGAATTGTAGGAAATAGATGCTCATCCGTATCACAATAATCGTCTCACTTTCCTTTTTCGGTTGTATCAAAATAAGTGTATCACTTCCATTTTAGAAAATAAATCCACCCCAAAAATAGCTACAATACACTTTAATAAGTAAACAGTACCGCTACAGTAAAGTGTTTATGAATCCCCATTTTCTTATTTTCATCAACCAACTAGTAAAGGGTTGTTAAGTTGTTCTATCTTGTGGCGTCATTTAAAGAAGAGAAAATTATCAAATAATTCCATGTACTATAACCAAAACCTCAATTAAGTCCATGTACTAAGAAGTCACTCAATTAAACCCCTAAACTATTAAAAAAAAGCTCAATTTCGCTTTTTAGTAGGTCAATCACCGGTTAGCCGGTTATAAGCTTACGTGTATTTCCACATGGTTTTTTTTTTAGAATCTACTGTTGACCTCTTCTGTCTCCATCTATCCCCTGTTCATCTTCCCCACCCAGAAGATCATGTATCATCCTTATCTCCACGTTTCGTCTTCCCCCAGTCCCCATCCAAACGGCCAGATGAAGAGCATCCATCTCCCTTATCTCAACTGTTCATCTTCCCACTCAGAAGAGCTTCCTTCTTTCTTTATTACAACTATTCATATTTCTCAATCTGGAAGAGCAAGACCGACGACCACATAATCAAGACCTGCCTATGGAGACCATTAAAATGGTGGAAAAAGAAGCAACATCTCTACCTTTTAAAGAGTGAAATTTTCATCTAATTCCTGATTTCCTTTCTTCTTGTCTTCTACTTCAATCATCTCATACCGCTGTTAATTCCCTTCATTTCGTGTCATTTGAAATTTCATATTGTGAATGAAATCCCACATTTTTCTTATTCCTTTACTTAATTATTAGATGTACAAGCAGACCTCTCAATCTCACATGGCGGCGAGGGTTTCACGCTCTCTTGTTATCTGCAGTATCCTACTCATGAATATGTTTACGCATTTGATAAAATCGACGGCGGCAGGGCCGTGGAGGTGTTCATCGATGAATCTAACAGAGGTGAAGAAGATCATGTAAGGATGTACCAAATTAAAGCCGGTCGACAAAGGATTCTAAAAACAATTAAAGCCACGTGGAAATCTAAGTCACCAAATAACCGGCTAACCGGCGTGTGACCTACTAAAAAGAGAAATTGAGTTATTTTTAATAGTTTAGGGGTTTAATTGAATGATTTCTTAGTACTTGGACCTAATTGAGGTTTTGATTATAGTATATGGACTTATTTGAGTTTTCTCTATAAAGAATTAAAAATCGCCTAATATGTTCATTATATTTGTGATGAGATGAAAGATTTTTTTAATAATTTTTTTTTGAAACATTCCCTATGTTTATTTCATTGCTTTTTATTCTTGACCCTCATTTCAAATATTTGGTGTTAGTATAGTTGTTTCTATGTTGAATTCCTTATGTATGAGAATAACTCTATAGATGTTCGAGTGCAATTTGATGAGATTAATAATTTATTTCATAATATATTTAGCTAATTTCACACACAACATTCTAAACCCTCTGTCCTTGAAAGAAACTTCTTCTTCGAAAAACTCTATCAAAAGTACTGTAAAATCTTTTGAAAATAAATAAATTCACAATCACTATACAAAGCTCAATTAATGAACTATCATTATATCTAACATTTGAATGATGGAAAGACGAAGAAACAATGTTTCCCATATTATCAATAATGACAACACGTTCTATCCATATTAATTTCAATAACAATATTCCAGTAGCACAGACTACATCCTAATCGGTTATAGGACACTTGTATACTTTCATGATTGGCTGAAAGCAAGACGTCATCCTCAAGAACCGAATATCTTACTAACACACCATTTAATAGAAAAATGACAACATATGCAAGAAGTGAAAGTTGAAACAAAAAGAGGTTATTTAGATTATTAGTTTTTACAATTGCTTAGTACATAAAAATAATTATAAAATAATACATGAACAAAAATACTTTGACTTTGATTTCTCTATCATTATAAAAAGGATTATTAGCTAAATATATCCCAAACTATAATGAAATCCACAAATCTATCTCATATTTTGACTTTTATTAAAGGGAAAATTATGATTACCCCCTTCTAGTTTGATCATAATTATTAGTTCAACCTTATATTTTTAAAAGTCAACTATTTACCCCCTCAGGTACGATTAATGTTGTAATCTCCCCCTTCTATCAACATTTTCATCAAATGCCTATTTCTTTGACTAAAATACCCTTGTTTAGGGATTATTTGTTAAATCCTCTCATCTACGTATTTTTTCAAATTAGGGGGTCCGGTCCGGTCCGGTCCAGTCTAGTATTTTGCCGAACTCGTACCCGTATCGTGACTATGGAAACAGTTCGGTTCGATCTTAGACCTAAACCCGTTCAGTACGGTTCTATTTTCAAACGGGACGGTACCATATCAGACTAATACCAAACAATGTCAATTTTCCAAGTGTTTAAGTGGAAGTTAAAGTTTAGAAATAATTACATAAATATGACCAAAATAAAGATGGTTTACAAAAATATGACTAATTACTTGAGTAGTAATGAAATTATAGTAATTCATGTTCAAATTTTGAACTTAAGTTACCACAACACTACATTGTAGTAATGAATAATCATATTTATGTAAATACGTTTTATTTTAGTAATATTCTTGTAAAAAACCCTAAAGTTTAGCCATCCTATAAAAATCCACATAATTTATCAATTTTCATACTCCGTATTACATAATTATTAAATTTCAGATAAACTATAGTAGTACAAATTTTAACCGGTCATGACATTGTTTAGAACCGATACGGTCTGGTTTGCGACAAAAAATTGAGATCCCTTTCAAGTCCCATTTTTCGGTCCGGTACCACATCGGTCTGGTTTGACACCATGCCGGTTCGGTATTTTTGCCCACCCCTACTTCAAATACACAGCCGAGTGAATTTTCCTTTGATGTACGAATGGGACTGCGACTGGGAATTGAAATTGGAGCAGAAAAGAAGAAAAACGGAAAGGCACAGAGCACTTTCAAGTGTGCTGCAATGATGCTTGGGAAAACATTAATTTTTTGTTCGAATACTTTTGGAGTAAGCCTGGAAACTTTCAGTTGATGTACTCTTATTTTATTCCACTCCTTAGTTTAGTTTAATAGATGAGGACATTTTTGGGAATTCCACTTACAATTAACGGTCCAAGCAATTTAAATTTAACAAAAGGGGAATATTCTAACTTTAGTAAAAGCTTAAATCAATCAATCATCATTTACACCAGTGCCGCAAAGGCTCCCACCTACGGTGGGGTAAGGGGGGGTCGGATGTATGCAGTCTTACCCCTGTACTAAAGTACAGAGAGACTGTTTCCAGATGATCCATAATGAAAATCGCGTCCAAAATTGCATGGACTGACTGCTGCTTCATAACAAAGAAGAGCAGACAGTTTGGTGAACCATTTTGCTTTATTCCATCATATTCTCAAGCCAAAAAATAATGATTCTTTAGTAAAAGCTTAAGGGGTAAATAATTCAATTCTAAAAATATAAGGTTGATTTAATAATTATCACCTAACCTCAATGAGGTAATCATTATTTTCCCTTTATTAAAAAAGACTCAAACTTAAACTTTTATCATAATTACACTTTCGATGGATAAATTTGTAAAAAATAAGAAAAAACTATATTATTATGGAAAAAATTGAAAATAATAATCCCAACTATTATTGGTCCGCTGATAATAATCCCAACTATTGATTATTTTTGTATAACCCCAACTATATGGACCATCCGCCAATAATGGTCCAAGACCAGATATTACCTCCTATAAAAAGTGAACTTAAATAGAAATTAAGCGTAAAATTAAAAGTTGAGATTATGTATAGGGATTACTTGTTATATCTCTTCTCATCCACTTTAGAAACTACGAGAATTTATTTATAGGGACCATTATTGGCGGAAGGTCCCTAAAGTTGGGATTATTCTGAAATAATTGATAGTTGAGATTATTATGAGTGGACCATCAATAGTTGGGATTATTACTATCAATTTTTCCTATTATTATTTCATAATTTTCACTTCTAGTTTTAAGTTTACAACACTGTATTGCTTATATTTTATTGTTATTGATAAAAATGTGTAATTTTGAAGAAACAAACAAGAAAAGCATAATTGTTGAAAAACATGAAGTTTGAGTCTTTTTTTTTTGATAAAAATGAAAGTGTAGGATATATTTGTGAATTTGATGATAGCTTGGGATAAAATAAGCTAATAATCCTTATAAAAAGAATGGATAGATAATTTTAATAAAAGTGCAAGCCATTTAAATTTAAAAATGATATGTATTTATTTAAACATATTACATTAAGTAATTAAAAAAATAGTTGGGATCATACCGGACGGTCCGGACCATAATCGAGACTGACCAGTGAACAGGGCCTGGTTCGGAACCAATCGGTCCTGGACCGGGACCAAATCCGCCCATGTCCAACACTAGACGTGACAGATAGCTACTTTGACATTTTAGTGCCCATGGGCCGTGTCCACCGGCAAAACAATGCAAAGGCATTTATGAAATGTATAGCAAAACAATAGAAGAGAGTTAACAAGTAATATTCCGCCATTTAACTCGAATGGTTTCACCTCTAGAGGTTGAATTGGACCATGCAGACTTTTGGGTCCAAGTACATGATTTACCATTAAGTTATATGACGGTAAAGGCTGCACGTGGTATAGCCAATAGCATTGGCTCCTTTGTACAACTGGATGAGAGCTCTCCTAGCGGAAAACAAAGGCTGGTTATGCGCATTAGGGTCACGTTGAATGTTAAGGTGGCTCTAACTCGACGCCTGCAGGTTAGACAGGAGGGAGACAATTGGACCTGGGCAAATTTCAAATACGAGAGACTCCCAAATTTCTGTTTTCTATGTGGGATTCTGGGTCATGCTGATCGATTCTGCCCCTCCAACCCGCATAGTGGTCTGGGAATGGGGGAAAAACCCTATGGGCCATGGTTGCGGGCCGATATGAGACGGGGAGGAGTTCACCCGGGGAACAGATGACTTATTCCTAGTAATAACAAATCGGGAGATAGGCAAGGAAAAATTGCAGAGCTGGACAGAGAGGCGAGGGATCAGGAGAGCTATTTGGTGGAGGGACTTTTATCAAAGGGGAAGGAGATTGTGTCAACTGGGGATGCGTCTAGGAAGCGTCGGATCACTGAAAAGGAAAACGAGGTGGGGACACAGGCAAGCATGGATGTTGATGAGGCGGCTTCAAAAAACTTGGAAGTGGCGGTGCTGACCGGGCAACACCGCGAGTAGTGGAAGAAGGTGAGAGCTTGATGGATGTTCCTTTAGCGGAGGCTGGTCAAACCGCTACTCTCTTGCCAGTGGCTGGTCAAACTGGCTTATGTTATTTTTCTGTTTTGGGAAAAGGTGCAAATAGGTCCATGTACTAACCAAAAAAGGTCAAATAAGCCCTTATTTAGGAGGCTCTGTCCGGCCGTCGCCATTTGGGGTGGTTCCCGGTGGAATTTTTTGATGATTTTTTTTGAACATCTTAGTCATTAAGTCTAGTTTACTCATACAAAATTTCAGCTAAAACTTCAATCGGGAAGGCATTCAAATGAATTCTTGAAAATAACTGCACACTTAGAAACGCAGTTATCTTCAAGAATTCATTTGAATGCCTTCCCGATTGAAGTTTTAGCTGAAATTTGATATGAGTAAACTAGACTTGATGAATAAGATGCTCAAAAAATTTCATCAAAAAATTCCACCGGGAACCACCCCAAATGATGACGGCCGGACAAAACCTCCTAAATAATGGCTTATTTGACCTTTTTTGGTTAGTACATGGGCCTATTTGCACCTTTTCCCTTCTGTTTTTCATCAATTTTGAACTCTGTTTTGTCTTTTCATTCCCATTCTAGTAGCAGGAACAACATTGCTGTGTTTAGAGTCTACCACATTGCGGGGTTAGCGAGATGGGCCGCTAGTAAACGTGTCTCCAGCTCTGAGTCTCACCCTAGTGTAGCCTTTGATATGGCGATTTTGTACCCGGTTTTCGACGTTATTAATGATTAAGTTATCTGTTTCCAAAAAAACTCGAATGGTTTCTATTTAAAAAAAAAACTCCAATGGTTTGGATTTTGGAATGTAAACCTTTTTTCTTCACGATTGCATTTAAATTGTTAAACATACTACGTATCTGTGAAGGAAGAACTAATGATGTATAAATTCACTGAGATTCGTAGTCTTCATCAGAAGACCAAATTACATGAGATCTTAAAATTAAACAACAATAATAACAATAATAATAGATGTTGCAAGTATAGGTCTAGGGAAAATATCAATTCTATAGAATCGTCAAGAATGTTCTTTAAGTGTGAGCTTCTCCCTCTTTCTTTTGAAGAATCTGCTAATCCCAAAACCTTCTGTGTGCCCCTGCCCCCAGACACCCCATTCAGTGAACGAGTGAGCCCAAACTTGCCACAGTAAATGATATTTTGTGAGTACTGTTCTGTAAATGAGGAAGGAATACAAACGCTGAATCTGTAGTACTCTTAGTTTGGTCTTTTCATTAGATATGCAACTGAACACCCCAGCAAAGCACCAGCCACAACCTGTGCCAACACCATACCCAGATGAATACTACGCAAGGAAGCATGGACCACCGACTGCCTTAATCACAACTCCCTTGATGTCAGAAGCATAATAAAATGCATCAAATCAATTAAATGTCTAAAACTAGTTTATGCATAGTTGAAGGACCGCAGCCTTTCTGAAGAAAGACTAATGAGATGAAACTCATGATCCATCACTGTGAGATGTTGTTCTCCAATTGCATGGAGAAATTGATGGGCTGTTACTGTCATATGTCATCTTGCAAGATTTCGATTGTAAAACCGACGTTCTCATCATGGAATATAACACAACATGGTACTTGGCTCACTACAAATATGACCTTACGAGATTCCTCATAAAACCAACTTTTAACCTTTAAGATACGGAGTATCATCATATATGAAGAATTCCCTAGAAGTACATCAGCCCCAAGGAAAACAATCCAAGTTTCCATGGGATCCAAATCCCACCATCCAGTGGCGGACGCGTGATTTCCCGGTAGGAGGTGCGGCAATATAAAAAAATACATACAAATACATATATATTAAAATTTTCGGGGTAAATATACCTAGGTGAAAAAATGGAGCGGCAGCGGCCCCCATTTTCCCCCCTTTGGGTCCGCCGCTGCCACCATCCCCACATGGAAATGGATTCCCTTATTCTCAAGGAAAATGAAACTACTTTACATGGAAACTAAATATTGCTTGGTGTCTCAAGTAGGGCATAAAATTCTCTCCTGTTTTCTAGGAGAGGTGTAACTTTCCACATTAAATAAACAGATTTAGGCTAGTTGCAACACTTGGGTTGTAAAAGCAAATAAACCCAAATTTGGGTCTTTTCACTCCAAATTAGTGTACAATGAATGTCAATACGTGGGAATATAGCCTTTTGGAGAGGAAATATCCACCCAAATTCACCTCAACTGGCCCACAGGTAAAAACACATTTTGGTTTGTTTTCTCGGCAAACATGTGAATAACAATAAAGTTTTTCTCATTTTGTTTTTGTATTCTTGGATTAAGAAGAATAGGTAAAAGCAAAAAAAATTGTTAAACATCGAAATGTTTGGTTTTTAAAAGATAACTAATTGCAAAAGTTACGACCCTTAATTCTTTTCTTAATTCAAATGATTAAGGTTTTATTATTGTTGGAGTAAAAAATACTGACGGGGTGAATATATTGACTCTTCTAGGAATGCACCAAAAAATTGGATTAATGACGAAATCAATACATTATTTTTGTATCAAAGAGTTAATATTTGGGTTTATTGATGGTGTAGGGATGCAGATAGTCTTATGTACCGTTCGGGATGTTGGCCATTTTTTTGGTTTTCTGAATTTGAAAATCAAAAGTTACAAGATGGGCAACATGTAAATCATGTTCATTTGTAAAAAAATGTCAATGGAAAATTGAAAACCATATTTTTTGTTTCCAAAAGAAAATTTGGCGTTATATAAAAAAGGGAAAACTATCAAATAAGCCCTTGTACAACACTAAAAATGTCAATTAGGCCATCGTACTTTAAAAACACTCAATTGAATGCCCGTACTCCTAAAAACGCTCAATTAGGCCATTTAGCAGGTTAACAACCGGTTTCCAGGTAAATTGCTTGTGTGAAAACTGGTTATTTTTTCTTTTCTCTTTCTCTCTTTTTTCTTTCTTTTTATTTTCCTTCCCTTTCTTCTTTCTTTTATGGACTACATAGGTCTCTTCCCCTTCCCATCACTACCACCTTCCTCTTTTTTTCATCTCTGTTTCATAACTCCATTTGGTCAAGTTGAAAACTAATTTGAAATTTTATTTTGATCGATCTAAGCGTTAAAAATCAGATCTAGAGTTTCCTTCTCCCGCTTCACATACATCTCTTTCTTTTTCTGTTTTTTTGTTAATAATTATTTCGATCTTTGTTTGTTTGTTTCTCTTCTCCGTTGATTGCTATTTTCTGCAGCTCCACGGGCCAGGACTCAAGTTAATTCCGCAGGAGAAGAAGCAACCGGCAGCCAGGTGACCGGCTGCGAGACGAAGGCAAGATGACAAAAAGTGACCGGAGATGAGATGAATAGACAATGTCGAACCCGAAGGAGTTAGGGACGCTGGTTTGGGGGCGAGTCGACCAACATCGAACCCTCAAAGTCTGCCCCTGAAGAACGAGAAAGCTTGACCAGTGTGAGGTAGATAGGAAGGAAAGAAAGAGAAACAGAAACAGGAAAGGGAAAGAAAATAAATGCCGCGTGGATCGCCACATATGCAGGCAGCCAGCAGACCAGCTGTCAACCCGCTAAATGGCTCAATTGAGCATTTTTTAGGAGCATGGGTATTCAATTGGGTGTTTTTAAAGTACGAGGGCTTAATCGACATTTCCGCTATAGTATGTGGGCTTATTTGACAGTTTTCCCCATAGTCACATGGTTCGTGGAACGATTCGAAACGGGAACGCGGTTCGCTAGATCTAACGTATCCGGTTCGAAGGGGGGTAGGTTCATTCCGGTACGCGTTCGGTACGGTGTACCACATGTTCCAAACGTTGTATCTTATATTTTGGTACACATGTTAAAAAAATAGAAAAAAACATTAATATTCCATAAAAACATTAATATTCCATATATTTTGGTACACATATTAAGATGTGTGCGGTGTACACATCTTATATTTTCATAATCACAAGTCAAAACATTTTTAAAAAATAGAAAAAAAACATTAATATTCCATAAAAAAACGAACGTGCCTACATTTTTTAAACTGCATAGGAAACGACGAGAATGAAGAGTTCCTACTTCGTAATTTGATTACCTGGAGCGGAAATCGAAGAGGCTAACTCGTTTCAAAGTTTCAAACGAACGTGCCTATTTATGTTAACTGCGCAGGAAACGAGGACACTGTTCGCGATTGGTAGGGCTGCTATCGTGACTGTTCGGATTCGCGATTAAGCGCGACCTGTATGTCGTTGCGGAAGACTCCAGTTACGTTTGGGAAGAACCTGGCTAGCGATTGCGAACGATTTGGGAAGCGATCGCGAACGACTGCAGCAGCATTTTACAGAGCGATCCGGGTAGTGTTTGGAACGCTTTCGTACCGCGTTTGGGTACGCGGCGTCCGGAACGCAGTTCGCAGGTGTTTGAGCGATTTATGTATCTATGGTTTTCCCTATAAAATACTAAAAACTGACCATCACTCCAAATGGGGCTTTGGAGAGGAGGAAAAAGGGAAACATGTATATCAAGTCATATATTTGCAAAAGGAAATAAAACATGAGTGTATAGTGGTGGAAAACATTGCATTACTTGGAGAATGCAAAGATACCTGAAGAGGTGTGTGACCAAGAGAATCTCTCAAAGGTTTGACACTAGACACAGGATGCTCAGGTGGCAATTCACAAACAATTTGATTTAACAACTGCAGAGAGTATAAATGTTGATCATGCATTCAGAATATTTAGGACCCAATAAGTAAACAGAACTGAATGCCAATTGCACCATAACAAAGCTTGAAAATTTACTTCAGCCTGTCGACCTGCATGTTGCCTAACACCAGTAGCATCATACATTACCTACAAAAAGAAAAAGAATTGTTGGAAAAAGTTGAATCCTAATTTTCATTTGTGTCCACATTATAAGGAGGTTCCAGATGTAGTTTTAGTTTTACTTTATTTCTTTTCCTTTTTTTTGAGAACTTCCGAAATTGAGCATGCTATTGTCTAGAGTATCACACAATTTTGAATATATGCCATGCAGCCATTGCATACTATTAACATATACATGGATGCAGGAAATAATTTATTGTAGATCTGTAGACAGTGTAAGTGTAACACATAAAAGTGATAACCTGTAGAATTGTAGGAATTTTTACAGCTACACATTAAAAACCGGAAAATTTACCTCACAAAAAGTTGCAATGATTTGGGAGCAGGGGGGAGGTGCAAGGAGCAATATATATAATTAAGATGGTATGTAAAATAGAAAGTACATACAACACATGCTAAAACCACTGCAATAGCAAATGCAGATCCACCAGCTCCATCTTGAAATCCAATTGCCACTGCAAGGGCAGTAACAGTTGCAGAATGAGAAGAAGGCATTCCACCAGAGCTAAGCATCCTTCTAGAATCCCATCGCTTCTCCTTAAACCTGTTAACTCTAACACCACAGATTAAATTCAAATGGAAAATAGAAGCACGTTGTTGAAGGATAGGAGAGATGAGTTCCTCAACTGGGGCATAACCCTCCAAAGTCAAACCACACTAAAAAAGACTGAAGCTAATAGGTTAACATGTCTAACTCAAGATCTAGACTTTATGAACACAAGCAGCTCTCTTTAACCTTGCAATGTAACCTTAGTAGAAGAAAGCTCATTTAAAGTTCAGGTATAGCTGCCAGATCGAATTGTCGGTGGAAATGCTTACAAACAAAGAGTCAAATATTACATGCAACTACCATAGGCAAATTCAGAAAAAAGATTTGCTCTTTGAATGATCGATCACTTCTCTTGCAATTTGCCACTAATTACACGGTAATGTAGATACAATATATTAGTTGCTCAGAGTTAACTTACTAATTCAATGGCATACAAATAAAATCAAAGCTGAAAGGGAAAGGACTTGCCAAGTTGTGAAGACCTTTAGAAACTGAGCCAGAGCGCAGGCGAGGAGAGCCGTGGCCATGGGCAGGTTAGAAGGGCCGACTGACGGTTGGAGTGAGTAGGATCTTAGGGCTGAGGAGGCATCTCCAGCCGTAATCACCTCGTTCATTGTTGATAGATTTGGCGAATTTGGGAGGTCTGACGATATGATCAAACCCTCAATCGGACGGTTCGGTGAAAACGGCCAAGCGCCGCCGGGTGCAGCTGATCAGGGGCGGGGGGGTTCCAATCCGAATGCGTGACGGAACTGCCTGCCGGTTATCTCTAAGCTACGTAGTTTTTTGCCGCTTGATTTTTATATTTTTATATTACGTAAATATTATCTACGGTGCCTAAAAGTGTCACATGAGATGAGTAAAGAGAAGATGTTAATCACCAAGCAAAAAGTAATTTAAATATTTCACTTTGCAAGTGTGTAAAGTAAATGCCCAAATTTGAATATGTAATCCCTAGTAGAAACACATCGATTTTATATACGGAAATTGTCCTAAATAGGACTAAAAAGTTCCTAAAAAGCACAAATAGGACTACTACTTTTAAAATTCCCTAAATAGGACTAAACATTGATTTTCTACCCTAAATACCCCTAAGAGCATTAATTCATAATGAAATGCTTTAATTCATAATAAAATCACAAAAAACGTAAAAAAATATTTAAAAAACGTAAAAAAATTAAAAAAAATTATAAAACATTTATAAAATAAAAAATTTAATTTTTTATTTTTTTAATTTTTTTAAAAAAATAATAAAAAATAGTAAAAACCCATAAAAAATGAAAAAAATTATGGATACCTTTCTCACCGCCTCCCGCCGCCTCCCAGCACCACCACCTCCGATTGGTGAAATTTCTTCCACTTTTGGTAAAAAATGCCATATTTTTCTAAAAAAGTCAAAAAGATGGCATAATTACTCTTCAATATGCCAACATTTTCATTGATTATGCCATCATTATGGCATTATTTAAAATGTTGGCATATTTTTGTCCGGTGATGGGAGATGGTGGTGTTGGGGGGTGGCAGGGGTGGTAATGTGTTTTTTTTAATTTTATGATTTTTTTATTTATTTTTTATTTTTTTTAAAAAAAATATATTTTTTTTATTTTTTTAAAAAAATATTTTTATTAATTTTCTATTATTTTTTTTACGATTTTTAGTATTTTTTTCGATTTTTATTAATTTTTTATGATTTTATTATTAATTAAAACATTTCACAAGTTACAAGGGTATATTTGTCCAAACACACATAAATAGTCCTATTAAGGGAATTTAAAAAATGTAGTCCTATTTGTGCAATTTTTCCACTTTTTAGTCCTATTTAGGGAATTCACTCTTTTATATACTCATAAAAAGTTATTTTAGTCTCACGATTTTTTCATTCGAGGCGTGAATGTAAACTTTGATTGGTAATACACTCAGGGCCGTCTACAGAAATTTTGATGCCCCAGGCAAAAAATGACTAAGGAGATCAAATAGTACTTCAAATTAATAACATAATTAAATATGAAGTAATTAGAAAATTATAAAACCATTTTTACTAAATGTAAAAAGAAATACGTGACTTAAAATTGATATAAAGTATGTGAAAACCGAATAGCTGTAAGAAACTAAAAGAAATATATATAACACAAATTTTCAAGTTTAATACTCCCTCTGTCCCAATATAAAAGGCACACTTTCCTTTTCGGTCCGTCCCAATATAAAAGGCACATTTCCCTTTTTGGCAAACAAAACAATGTCAAACAGTGCCAAACAGTGTCCAAACAGTGCCAAACAGTGTCTAAACAGTGCCAAACAGTGTTCAAACAGTGTTCACCCTTAAAAAGTCCCCAAACGCAAATGTGCCTTTTATATTGGGACGGAGGGAGTATATTTTATAAATAATAATTAATAAATTGGATGTAGAAAAGGTCATTTACAAATTTCAGTTTCTAATTTGGATACGGAATGGTGAATTGCAGAAGAATAGAAGAAATCAAAGTTTGAAATATATCAAATTATATTGAAGGTCGGTCTTTACCTGGTTCGAAGACGGGCAGGATGGCCAAATGGGTAATATTATTTTATATGTATATGTAATATTACATACAAAAATTACATTTTTTGTAATATTTCAGTACAAATAAATTGAAATTTTATCAATCATGAACCTGAAAGATAAATTTACTATAATAAGGAGTCTGAAAAGATAAAGCGTGTCAATATAAGATCCGGATGATTGAAAATTATCTATCAAAGACCTAAATTATCAGTAATTTTGATTTATTTAATTAATTTTTTATTAATTTTATTGCTAGTTTTTGAACAGTTTTCTTCATAAAAGTATATTAGTTTAATACGATTATACAATATTTCAATTTTTTTTTTTACATTCATGGTGTTTTATATCTTAGATTATTTTCAACTATTTATGCCATGTCTCGACACATTTCATCTTTCAGATCTCTTATTGATAGTGAACAAATCTTTCAAATCCTATATTAATAAAACTTATAAGATACGTACTATATAAAACATTGAATTAAAGAAATTGATTGGAAATAATAATAATAGTAATAATTATTATAATAAGTCAATAAGTCAAAACAAAAGTGAGCTAGGTTTCTTCCCACACCACGTACTACTGGAATCAACATACTGCGTGCAATGATAGTACCCATGGAATGCGTCCCACACCGGTTTTATACAAGTGAATGCCTTTTCCATTCCAATATAAGAACAAAAATGGATTTATGCTATTCTACTCGCACGGCCCACACCGGAAACGTAGGCTTATTCCCTCATCCATTTTTCTATAAATCAATAGGAGCTTCGGTCTCTAAAGCTGCTCTATAGTAATTTTAATATATATTGATATATTACTATATTAATATTGATGTATATGAAAACAGCTTTCTTACTAAAAAATGATGCCCCCATGGGAGTGGTGCCCTAGGCCATTGCCTAGGTGCCTACCCCCCATGGCCGGCTCTGAATACACTTATGATAAGATGATAAGTAATACCAATTTTTTCATCAAACATGTAACTTTGATTTCACGTTATGAATTGTGTGATAATAATACTTTCTCTGTCCCACAAAACTTGGCCAAAATTGATTTACACATAGGTTAATAAAGTAAAAAATTTGTGGGTGAAATTTGTGCAGAGGAGAGAGAAATAACTTTAACCACATATACTTTACTTTAGATAAAAAGGACAAAGTTTTTTGGAACCACCTAAAAAGAAATTTTTACCATGTTTTATGGGACAAAGGGAGTATATGATAGATACTTTTTGTGGTACCTTAGCATTTACCAAAATACTACTTATCTTCCATAAAATTCTTTCTGATTTGATTTGAATCGGAATTTAAGAAGGTGAAAATAAAGTAAAATATATTATAGTGGTTGAGTAAGAAAAAAACAAGTGAATATTGACCATACAAAACTTTCAAAATACGGAAATATGAGGAGGATTTGGAATATCTCAAAAAGGTAAGTAAGAATAATTGTTATATTTGTATATAATTTATAAATTTTATGTTTTTATAATGATGAATTTTGAGTAAGGAACATTTTGATATTATTTTCATATGTAAAGTAATTTCGCATTAAATGATATAATTGGTCAAAGTTGATTGCATAAATGAAAGGGAAATTTACCGGGATATGACTAAAACTCAATGAGTTTCTCAATCAATGATCTAACTAGTTTTTATACCTTTGTATGACCAAAAATCCAAAAACAAATAGAAAATTCATTTATATTTAAATGTTGAATGACGAAAATACCCTTATTTAAAATAAGTGCAATTTGCACTAATTTCGTCCAATTAAAATTACAACACTTTATATTGTCTTTAATGCACGATATTAATGCACGACATTAATTATTGCACATCCTGTAAAATCACTGCACTTCATGTCAACATTAATATCTTCTTATCCACGTTTGGAATTTATTTATAGTTCTTTATTAATTTATTTTTAGATGTAATAACTTTAAATTAGTTTTTTACATCACATCCAGTTAAATATATTACATCTTGTGTCATCATTATTGTTCTATTGAATTTGATTTACTGCAAAAAACACTTCATCATCAATGCATTCATTCACTGCTCGTACACAACATTATCCAATGTCATGCTCATTGTCCATATTCAACACTATCTATTTTCTCCGATTCAATACACAACACTCTTCCTCAATGCATTCATTCACTGCTTATGTTTACTGTCCATATTCGCTGCCCGTTCTCAATGCCTTAGAATATGGCCCGGTGACAGTGTGCCGGGTGTAAACAGATCCAAACAAAGGGATTTCGAATATGGTGAATCCAAGATTGAAAAAAGAAAGATGCTTTCGTCACTTGAGGCTAACCCAATGATCAAAGAAAATATTTTTATGGGAACATTCCAAACTGTACAAGAGAAACTAGAATCCTATCACCAATCCCATGAAATTGAATTTGAAAATTAAACAAACAACCGTGATAGCCAGACTTCGTCCGCTCCATCAAAACCTGCCAAGAAGAATAATTACATAATGCCTTGAATATATAGTCTCCCACCATGACTAAAGAGCACTGGTGGCCAGATCCTCGCGTAGCAATCGCCGTTCATCCCTGGTTGAAGTCCTCGGCACCCGTGCGCAGATGCGAGGTTGTCGGCAATGTCCAAGACGGTTATCGTGTATGCATCCAGATCAGGCCCCTCCGGGCGAAGTAGCTCCTGCGGCGGAGGTTTGCTTCCAGATCGGGGAAGAGGCTCTTGGCTAGTGCAGGTCGGCTAAATTAGGATATTAGGTGATTATGGTTTTATAATTACAGTTTAAGGGCATATCAGTCCACAAAAATTATTTATTTATTTAATTATTAATATATTAATTAATTACTACGAATTTTGATATTATTTTGGTAAAAAAAGTAATAAGGTCATAGATTGAGAAACTGATTGAGTTTTAGTCTTACCTAGAGTAATTATCTCTCAATGATATAATTTCGTATTTTCAACTTGATGCGAGGAGGTGTATAAATGAAGATAGATTATGTGGTATCTTTAAGGTACCATGCATATGTCCACGTGAACTAATCAAAATGATGCGGTTCAATTATTTAAATCTACATTAAAAATGATACTCCCTCCTTCCCTTAAAACTTTGTCAATTTTTCTTTTTTGGGTGTCCCATTAACTTTGTCACTTTCTCTTTTAAGTAAAGAATTTGTGGTTCCAGTTAATTCTCTCTCGTCTGCACAAACTTTTATCACACAGTTTTTACTTTATAAATCTCTGTGTCCGTCAAACATGCCTTATCAATCAATGGTAGACATGGTTATCCATTTCTTTTTAATTTGTGACAACTCCGGTACCCATTTAAAAAATGAGGTACCGTACCTACCATTCGCTTGATTGATCCACACCATTATATCATTTTTAATTTAGATTTAAATAATTTAATTGCAACATTCTGATTGGTGCATGTGGACAAAGATATGGTACCAGAATCTACAATTTTAAACGGGTAGAAGAGTTGTTTGAAATGCGTACACGTAGGGATAGACACTCATCAATAGGGCGCCACGTTGTCATTGCATGCATATCCACTCTCGCCAGCTCTATATATAAACCAACAAATAAATCAATACAATTCTTAATTGGTACGAATCGAGTAATAATATTATTATTATTAAGTGTACAAACCGCCCGGCCGCACGAGCTAGCTAGCGGTGGCCGGATAAACAATGGGCGGGGCCCACCTTCTGAATCTCCTCAATTCCTCCTCCTCAGGGGCTTCCAGGCTCATGAACCGGCGTCTACCTGCGGTGGTTTCGGAGTTCCAGAGGCGTTTCTCATACACCCATGGCGGCGGCGGCGGGGTGGTGGGAGAAGATGATAAAGCAGCCACAACAGAAGAGGAGTTCAAACGGGTAGCTGAAGAAAGGGAACGCCGCCGACTTGCTAGTCAGACTGTCGACAAGGCAGCAGATGGTGCTTTCGAAGCAGCGGCGGCCACGGTCGACGGAAGCAGCGGCTCAGATTTCGAATCTGTGAAGGAGACCTTTAAGCGTGACCAACCATCATCGCCGCCGCAGCCAAGGTAACTTAATTCCCTGGGCTGCGCGCGGCGTGCATGCCCGCCTGCAGAGATTGGATGGATCATGGTCCATGGATGCATGTGAGCTAGCTAGGATGATATGTCATATACGGAGTACTATGTATATATATGCATGTATGATACGGAGTATTGTACCAGTATATGAATATATGGAGTATGTGTTCACGACTTTGTTAAAGGTTACTTTGTAAAGTTCATGAATGACTTTTGAGTTTCTAAAGATTCTGTCCAAATTTCCTTAGCTATATTTATGGGTTCTTATGTACTACCTCCGTTCTTAAATAAATGCAACACTTTGACTTTTAATTCACATGTTCTACTTTGACTACGTTTTATTTATTAATATAATAATTTTTTTTTATGAAAAAATATTGTTAAACTTGTCTCATTGTAAATTTTCATAATCTATTTTTTTTAAATTTTTTTACTAATACAAAATCATATATATTAATGGTCAAAGTTGTGTCTCGACAAGTGTGAAATGTTGACCGTTGCATTTATTTAAGAACGGAGGAAGTATCTACTAAATCCATCTGAATTTTTACACTATTCACATGTTCTACTTTGACTACATTTTATATTAATATAATTTTTGAAAAATATATTATTAAAGAGTGATTTACCTAAATAGGACTAAAACAAGGTAGAATTGTAAAAATAAGACTACTATATTTTATTTTGCAAAAATAGGACTAAAAAGAGGCAATCTGACAAATCTGCCCTTAATTTAAAAGGCCCCTGCAATTATTCGCATCACCCCCGCGGCTCTCTGCAATTCATCGCAAACCATATCCGCCTCCCATGAACTGCTGCTCCATTCATCACAAATATATCGCATCACAATTTCATCGCCCTGCACTCATCGGCATCCAGGTAGGTCCTCACCCTCCCTCTCCCCTCCCTCCCCTCTTCTTCTTCGAACATTATCTCCCAGATTCCTCTTCCTCATCTGATTTCTTCTTATTCTTACTTTGTTTTGTAAAAAAAGGTCATCTTTGTCCTCAAAATGTCATGGAGATGACATTTCCATATATAAAAACATGGCAGTCATGAAAATGTCAAGTTGGTGTCATTTTTACTCTTTAGAAATGTCAAATAAAAACTGTCAACTTGGTAAATGTAATGTCAAGACAATGACACTTTTCCCAAATCAGCGTTGAATGACATAGCAATTATGCCATTTTTCAGTCCAATTGGTGAAATAGGTGGAAAATGTCAAGTTGGTGTCATTTTTACTCATTAGAAATGTGGGAAAAAATGTCATCTTGGTAAATGTAATGTCAAGGTCATTTACTGATAATGTAAATGTCATAAAATTGTCATTTACGTAGATGTAATGTCATAAAATTAACAGTCTTCAAATTATTATTGATAAAAATGACACCAGAAAATTCCTGGTTTATAAATAAAATTGAAATCAGAACACGATAATTGAAGAGGCTGAGAAGAAGAAGAAGAGGAGGAAGAAGAAGAAAAAGAAGAAGTGGAGGAGGAGGAGGAGGAAGAGGAAGAAGAGGAGGAAGAGAAGAGGAAGAAGAAGAACAAGAAGAAGAGTACATACCTGTGATATGGCTGAGCTGCGACGCTGCAAGAGTCATTGAAGAGGTGGCGGCCGGCGAGCAAGCACATGATAGCAGATCAAGTGGCGAGCATCGGCGGCTGAGTGGATGCAGGTTTGCGATCGATGCAGAGGGTTTGGGGAACGGGTGATTTAGGGATTGGGGGTAAAAATGTAATGTAGAGTCCCATTTGGGCAATTTAAAACCTCAAGTCCTATTTTGGAGTTTTAACCATGTTTTAGTCTCATTTAGTATAATTTCTTATAATTAAATTTTTCTAAATTTTCAAAAATATATTATTAAATATATAATTTTTTACTGTAGCTTTGTCATCTTCTCCAAAATCTTTTTCTTACTTTCAAAAACTGTCTCTAACAAATTTGGTATCAGAGCGCAGGTTCATTCTACAACTGCAAATTCCATTTTCTCATATACTTCTAGTCAAATTCCGATTTTTGATGGTGAACACTGTGACTATTGGAGTTCTCAAATGGAGACCATCTTCCTCTCGCAAGATATTTGGGACATAGTCGAAGAAGGTTATGAGATTTCTCCCAATCAAGAAGATGCGAAGGTGAATAAAGATGTGAACAAGAATGCTATGTATGGCAATGCGGATTATTCAGCAAAGGTGTAAGCAAGACAATTTATCCTCGTATTTTTGGCACAAAAAGGCCAAAGATGCATGGGATACTCTGAAAATAGAGTTTCAAGGATCTGAAAAAGCAATCTCTGTGAGGATACAATCATTATGGGATCAATTTGAGTCTCTGACAATGAAAGAAGGCGAGCTCGTGAAGGATTTCTACTCTTAGGAAGTCTTCCGCAGAAGTTCCTGACAAGAAAGTTGTCAATAAAATCTTGAGAAGTCTTCCTCAGAATTGAAGTTCGAACATATTGTTGCTCTTATCATTGAGACTAAAGATCTCAATACACTCGCTCAATATGAACTTATGGGATCTTTAGAACGAAGCACATGAGCTAAGAGCAAGCAGATACACATCGAGCACATCGAGGCATTCGATGTTTGAACCGAGCGCTCGATAAGCTCGATAAATATGGTGATGCTCGTTAATAGGCTCGTGCTTGAATGAAGTATTCGGTTCGATTATGATCATATTTAAATTTATAAAATCATACTAATTATATTTAAATTTTGATTATATATAAATTATATTTATAATTTCAGGGTGTTCGATAGGCTCGAGTTCGAACCGAGCCGAATACTACTATGTTCGAGCTCGGCTCGATTAATTTTTCGAACTCAAAATTCAGCTTGGGTTCGAGTTCAAAAGCTCGGTCGTGAAGCTCGGCTCTTTAGGTTCGAAACCGAACTCGGACTCGAATAGTTAGATTTTTTTTGCTTTTTACTCCAGGGGGGCGTCTGGGGGGGGGGGGGCTGGAGTAAATTGGGCTGAAACGCACTCCATTGAGTTTCGAACCCAAGACCTCTTGTAAAGGAGAGTGAGTCGGCGACCAGCTGAGCTGGACCGCTTCCTCCACTCGACTCGAATAGTTCGATAAAAGCTCGGTTCGTTAACAGCACTAGGATAGACTAATGGAATTCTAACACAGCCGATCGGTCACCTAGCATCACAAAGGCTATTGGAGTGCGAGAAGCGACATGGACTCAAAGGCAGGAATGGATTTAGGGGGGGGGGCTTGGTTTCCAATTATAGCTTTCCTACCTATTTGTTTTTTCATTTTTTATCCTATATATTACTTCACTTCGGATAAAGAAAGAACGAAAGACAGATATCAAAATAATAGGATAAATGGTATATCAGACAGCTTGTCGTCTTGTCGTTGGATCTATTATATATGTAATATTTTCATAAAATTTTCATACTTTAGTTAGATATATATTTGTTCGTCCCCTTAACTTTTAGTTTTCAATTGTTTTTTTAAAGGTAGTTTTCAAAATTAATATATAATCTTACATAATGTAATACTTAATTGGAGATTAAAAGAAGAAACATCTAAGACAAATAAATAACATAGTAACTCATTGTTTAAGATTTAGGATACTTATTATATAAAAATTCATAGTTTTTGTAATGTTTAATTATCTTTATTAGATAATTAGTACTCTATTTTGTAAAAATCAAACAATATTAAATATCAGACACACTAGTTAATTTTTTTAGATCGTGTGAAGTGAATCCAAAATATAAATTTTTGTTGACACTTAACATTAAATGTATAACACAAGTGATTTACTTCTTACTTTCTAAAAACGATTTATTGTGTATATAATAAACGTTAACTTATTTTAACATTAATACAAATATAATATGCACCATACATAAGAATCGGCTATATAATATTATTCTAAACATAATAATTTCATACGTATTATTGTAATATTAAGAAAACTTCTCGTGATTCATGAACACCCTCCTTGGTAGACAATTTGCAATTCAAAATTCAATTCTTTATTCCAATAAGATTCATGTGTTAAACAAATCGGAAGTTATTTAAAAAGTATTGGTGGATGTATAACTTTTAAAGTTTTTATATTCAAATTATTGGATAAAATTTACATATCTTTTTTTATTTTCAAGTAATTCCCCTTTAATTTGTTACGTAGTATTTTTTACCCTTAAATGTATAAATACATTTTTCTAAATGACTTCATTTATATAATCAAAGTTATTTTTTCATTGTCTAAGCTTAGAATTCAATGGATTTAAATGTCGTCATGTATGTTTTAATGAAATTTTTTAAATGAAAATAGCCGTAGAGCCCTACACTTGCGAAAAAATTTCGCTCCGCCACACTAGTGAAAATAAATTCGCCCCGCAACACTGCTGAAAAAAAATTCACCCCTACACTATCGAAAAAAATTTCACCTCCCTTGACCCAAAATCCTGAATCCGTCCTTGCTCAAAGGCAAGATTAGAAACACGTCATTATGGAAACTAATGTGCAAGTGATTATTACATCAAGATTATATGATGATTGCAAGTGATTTTCGCAATGCAGCAAGTTTTTCTATTTATCATTGTACATGATTCTCGAACTATGCAACCCATAGTTTAGCTGAGCCCATTGGATGTTTTTATTTGGACTATAATTTGTCCTAGACCAAATCAGACCAATTCATACCAGACCCGTAAATTACCGTCCAAGTAAAAACATCCTTAATACGGTTGAATGGGGTTGATAGGGAATTTCGTTTGTTTTATTTATATTTTGAGCCAAACTATTCTTTCGATGATGAATGAGAAATGGCATCTTCTTTCTAGAGATGGCAATTATGACCGATCCGATGGATACCCGCACCGAACCACCCCGGTCAAAATGGGGAAAACCGCATTGACTGGGTAATGGGTACAGGGCGGGGAATACCCGTTTTGTTTTTATGGGTAACGGGGCGGTTACGGTTTTATGCATGCCTGCCCCATTACTCGCCCCGTACCCGCCCCGTTTATTTTTAGTTATATTTTTATTACTTTTTTATCTACTATCTGTCCCACAACTAATAAAAGATGAGTTTTTTAATGTTCATTGTGTATATATAGATAATAGATGTACTAACTATAATGTAAGAATGAAAGTTCTCAATAGAAATTAATAGCCTTGTTTGATTATTCTATGATTTTTCGTGATTAATTATTTTTCAGATTAAGTATTTTTAGGTTCAAATTAATTTTGGTTGTCTTCTTTCTCGTCGTATAGATATATGAGGCTTTAAAGTGGCGTTTGAGTCTAGCGTCGTCTAGGTGATGCCATTTTTCGCCTTTTAAAATATTATTTTTTATTAAATTATCAATGACTCATTTAATAAAGTGATTGATTACCCGCGATTACCCGCGGTTATAACCGTTACCCGTTGGGGTGGTTATGATTTGGGTAAAAATTATCCGTTGGATAATGGGACGGTTATGGGGCGGGGGAATTACCAAACGGGACGGGTACGGTTATATGTAAAACCGTCCCCGATCCACCCCGTTGCCATCCCTGCTTTCTTCCAAAAAAAATTGGAAGAACCGGTTAGCAGTTGGAAAGGTTTTATCCAACCCTTACCGACCATCATAATGATAATAAAGAGATGGTGAAAATACCCACAATGTCCCCTTCTCCCCTCTTCCACTGCCCCACCCCCTCCTTCTGTTCTTCCCCCAAACAACCACACGCAGTAGAGAGAGAAACTCTGAAGCTGAGAGAGAAGGGGAGGAGATCGTAGGGTAAGATCTTCCCACGATCGTCATATTTCCCATGACGTTACTTGTTTGATTTTTCATCTACAAAGCAAGCCTAGATCTTCTCCAACAACAGAGAAGAAGATCTAATCTTTTTCTTCTTTGACCTGGACGATGCGGGGTGGCAGAGCACCTCCACAGTTCAAGCAGTCACCGGAGGGAGATCCCGGTGTCGGAGAAATCAACAGATCCGGTGGATCCAAGGAGATCAGGTTCAGGGGAGTGAGAAAGAGACCGTGGGGAAAATTCGCGGCTGAGATCAGAGACCCTTGGAAGAAAACCCGTGTATGGCTCGGGACCTTTAACTCGGCAGAGGCCGCCGCTCGAGCCTATGACGCCGCTGCTCGTAATCTCCGTGGTCCAAAAGCCAAGACCAACTTCCCGGGGTCGCCTTCTCCTCCTCCTCCTATTCATCTATCTCCTTATCGAAACAATCAATTTGGCCATCGGTTAAGCGATTCATCATTCGTCGATCAACAGATGTTCCCGCAGGATCATCCTATTATCTCCCAGAGGCCGACAACCAGCGGCATGAGTAGCACGGTGGAGTCCTTCAGCGGGCCACGGCCTCCCCGGCTTTCCACGGCGGTACCTTCTCGTCCATTAGTAGTTCCAGATGATTGCCACAGCGACTGCGATTCTTCCTCCTCCATTGTTGATGACATGGACTGTGACTATATCGCATCTTCTTCAAGAAAGCACTTGCCTTTCGATCTGAACATGCTCCCCGCAGAGGGATTAGAGGATGCCAAAGCCTATGATGAGCTTCCATTCACTGATCTTTGTCTCTGACGGCGAACGGTGGTGAATCTTCATTGTAACCAATTTGATTTCCTAATTTTACTTTTATTTTATATCACGATATGGAAAGGGAAGAGGGGGAAATCAAGAAGAAGAAGATGAAAGTGGGTTATATTAGGGTCAAGACTGAATCTTTGTTATCATAATGAAGGTTTGGAACATCAAATGGGGTTTGTCTGTGACAAGCTTGCTGTTTGAACTTTGAAGTGGATTTTCATGCTGATTAATTAACATGGCTGTATCACTTAGCTGATGCATTATGCGATTTATTTTATGGTGATGATCTTTGTGGAATGATAACCATATGTCACAATATCCCTTTAAGCATAGTAGTTGTATTCACATTTGCGCGATTCTTCTTACACTGGCATGAGGTGTGTCTTCATATGCTCTTCATTGATTGTCATGTATGTTGTGTGACTTGTGTCTTTAGCTTGATGACGTCTCTGCTTTTTAAAGAGTAGATTTTCTCTTCTATTATTGTGATCAACTGATGTTTTGTTGCTGTGTCGGAGTAAATGGTTATATTATTTTACATTGCATCTGCAGCAATCAATGTTGCATACACATTTTTCATTATTCTATTATGTGCCTGCGTGCGTGATGAGAGAGCTTTGACATGTGGGAATGGTTCTTAGTAAATAAGCAGGTTATTGAACCACATTTTATGTTACTTTTGACATAAGAAGTTTTAACACACACCTGGGGATGGTTCTTAGTAGTAGTTACTTTCTAACTGAGACTGTCTTATACTGACTTTTCAGTAACTGAGGCGCCGGTTAGTAGTCGGAGGCTTGTTCTTTTTTCGGCAGATCATGTAGCGCTTATTATTTATTTATCTTGCTGAGATATCTGTGCTAGCAAACGTTTTTCCTGTCAGAAAATTCAGGCAAATAACTTGTAAAATGAGCCGTAAAGTTTTTCATGATATTGAGCCCCTTTGTTTTATTGAATTAGCATTGTTACTATAATACTTGGTAATAATAATAATTGTTATGTAGTATTGCTAGTCTAATCTCTCACTGTTTTTCCCATCTGTTATATCTCTAGTCTGTGGTATTGGAATAACTTTTGCTGGCATTTGGTTCCAGGATCCTAAGATTACCGACCTCTATAAGGCACTGTGAGTTAATCTTAAGATGTTTGGTATTTAAAGTTTCTTGATGCTATTGATTGTGCACATAGCCAGACATTCATCCTCTCAATACAATCTTTTTAACTTGTGGTTTGATTCGTATGCCTATGTACCATATATGATTGACATGTATGTGAAATTGTTAAACTTTGATGTGCTCAACAATGGGAGTGTTAATACCATCAATGTGTTGCTTATTTGATGCACTCTCAGAGTGTTGGTACTTGCTAGGCACAAATGCACAATGTAGTAAAAAAACGAGTGCTTTTGTGCCTAGGCGCACCAGTGAGGTGCATATGAATCCTAGCGACTGAAAGAATTCCAGAAACAGCAACCTGCCTTGGGTGCAGGTCTGTGGGGAAGTGCAGAAGCACTGTTGTGCTAAAAAGCGCTCGATGTAATCACATGAGGGGGGAAACACATTCAGTTTTTTGTACGTTTGAGAACTGAGAGGCTATTTTAATTAAGATATAATGGCCTAGATATTACTTCTAGGGTTTCATTAGATAAAATGTGACTAATTTAGGGAAGGACAAAAAAGTGGGTTGAAAGGCTCCAACGTTACTACGTTAGTAACCTTTTTCGCTGCCCAACCCTCTCATCTCAAAAGCTGTTCTGACAAACGTCTCCATCTCCCAAGCTCTTCATCTCCCAGATCCAATTCTGCCTCCAACGACAAATTAAAGGACAAAGATGCAGCGGAGGTGATGGGTTGCACCGCCATATCGTGGCTTTGATTCTACATCGCTGCTTCCAGGTTGTCGATTCCAACTTCCAAGTCATCGCACCCAGGTTGTCGTCCTTGTATGGCGTGGTTGCCATCGTCCAGTACATTGTAGTTGCTGTCGGCGTGCCTCTGCTTCTGTTTCTCCTTATTCTGTTTGACTATGGGAGCTTCATCATCATCTAACACTTCAGATCTAGGATGGGGCAGTGGCGCAACAGAGAATCCGTATCCACGGGGCTGGGTTTGGGGGTGTAAAGGGGGTTGGGGAAAATGGCTGGGTAGGGTGGTGGTGGCTGGTGCCTGGTGGCATCGGGGGCCGGCGGTGGCAGGGGAGTTTAGGGGTAGGGGAAGCTGGAGATGAAGCCCCCGGCCACTAGTGAGATGTAGTTGGTCATTGAATGGCGGCCGCTAGTCATTGCCGGCGGTGGCCAATGGTTTCTGATGGTTTTGGCTGGTGGTGGCTGCCGAAGAAATTCAAGGGCAAGGTGTTGGGACGGGTGATAACTATAGAGTGGCAGCAACATGTCCGTGATGGTGGTGGCTGGTGGTGTCGGTGGTGGTGTACAGTTTTGTCGGAAATAGTTGGTGGCAATTTTTCTGGCAGTCATAGTGACCCATGTTTTTTCGATAGTGACATGTAAATGTGACATAAAATGGTAGTGACATAAAATCGCAGTGACATAATAAACTACATAAAAATGACAGTGACATCATGTTTTTCCAAATATGTGACCTTCTTGGTCACATTTTTGTCTTTTTTAATATGGTCACTTTTTTGAAAATTGGTTTTGATTTGATAATGTTCAAGTAAAAGCCCCTTTAAATACTAAGCCCATATTTTAATAAGATAAAGCCACCCAAATAAAAGGTAAAAATAACCTAAACCTGTGTTTGAGAATTTAGTTGTTTTGTTTTTGTGAATCACGAGTCCATGACTCTATTTTGGTGGATCATGACTTTATTTTGATGAATAGTGATTATTCTTTAGAAATATAACTTTTTAATGCAGTTGACTCAATATGATGTTATAAACATTATGCTTAATAATTCTTTGATAATTTAATAATAGTATATATAATATTTTTAAACAATGCGCTTGGCATAAGTCAGACGAGCGTTTTTGCGCCGAGCGTTTTTGCGCCAAGCGTTTTTGCGCCTTGTGCATGAGGCAATAGAATAGAAGTACTCTAACGTCTTGCATTTCACAACTTTGACTACTTTGCCGTAGGTGTATGTGTAAAAACCTTTTAGGCACAATTTGTTGTATCATAATTGTGCATAAGCAAGGCTTAGGTTTATGTTTTCTTTATGCACACACTATAGATAAATAAGGATTATTACTTATTATCATTTCTTCCTAAGACACTAGCATGTTTCTGCGAATGGGTTTTATCCATTGTGAAATTAGAGGCATTCTAAATTTCTAACCATCAGCCTCACCCCTCACATGTCTGGGTTCATTTCAAGTTTATTATTTATGATAAAGAGGGGTGTGATCCTTTTTGGAATTTGCTCAAGAGTATGAAATTTGCCTTTGGAGAAGAGAAATCATATTCTTCTAATCTATGAAGCATGGTAATTCTTGGGAAAGAGTATGTTCCTGTTTCTCTACAATTTTCTTTTTTCCGTGAAACATAGCTTCTAATCCATTTTTGTCAAACTAATGAGTCAAAAGTTGAGTTATTTCTTTTGTTAAGCTGATACGGTTAACACCTAGGCAAAACAATAACACAAGAAGTTGGTAACAGTTCATCATTGTTTTATGGTTAAGACGAACTGTGTAACCAATGGAGGACCTAGGAGGCAAGTGCCCACCTTCTGGCCCGGAAATTCACTATATTTGGAAATTCGTGTGTAGCTAGTTTATAAGCAAGTTTAATGTTGCTAGTGTGCGTGTTTCTCACAAATATTTGGATCCGCCACTGTGTTTATGACACCGGCCCCCGAAGGGAAATTTTTGTAAATTAAAAGTTTCGGAACTCATATGATATTGAAATTTTGTAATTTAATTTCTACCGTGATAAATAAATTTTTACGGGTTAAATTTTTCCGGTATGATAAATTCCACGTGGGACCCATATTTAGATCAATGGGATAGTTAGTTTTTAATTGTTATCCAAGTATTGCTTGGATTAGTCATGATAATTATGGATTATGTTAATATTGCATGATGAATAAGCAAGATAGGTACATTGTTGATAATTTCATGAATATAATGGTAAATGGATATGAAGGCATATTTGGGTTAAGTATGAGATTACCTAGAGGTATCAAGTATATTTGTATGCAAATTAAAAAAATGTTTAAAAGTGTTTAAACATGTAATTAGTCATGGTAGTTATAGATTATGTGAATATTGCATGTTTAATCATTAATGATTAATGATTAAACATGGTTGATGATCAATTCCGTCTGTCGGATTTTGACTCAGACTGTCCGAACGGCGATTTCCAATTGTCTCTTGTGCACACACCTAAGCTAATGGAGCAACACAGCTAAATAACCTTGCCATCACTCACTCTTTTCTCATCAAGAAGAATCACTCACTCTCACCTCACCAAGAAGGATAATGGCTTAACAAAGCTAGGAAATAACACTCTCGGCCTCTCGCATGAAGAGATAGACTTCATAGAAGAAGTCTGCGGTTCGTGTGCTTTCCTCTCTCAGAACAAAGGGTGCAGAGTTGTCATTATAACATGAGGAATTTGGTCTTATTAGAAGAGACTCAAAGGACACTCGAATAATACCCTGCACATACAGCTCACCACTAGCTCAATGATAATGAGCTCAATTCAAAATCAAACGGGAGAGACAAATAATGATAAGGTACAAAGTGTAGTGGGTTGCTTGAAAGGGTGTTAACCATTACTAATATACAAAATCATTTCGGGAAATAATATGTTAATAATCTCCACCTTTTGTCCAAGGTAGTGTGCACTTAGACAATTCACGGAATCGCGGAGTCATCATTGCCGAATAAATACAAGTATAATCACAAAGACAATAATACAAGTAATAGAGAGACACAAAGTACTTTCGGAGTAAAATCACCAAGCATAGCAAGCCCATAAAGGACTGAACTCTATCATAGGGTCCTCGAGTCTAAAACGGAAACCATCACAAAGCTATTAACAGACATAAGGTATGCTAATAGACCACATAAGCAATCAACCGGGGGAAGTTGGGGATACCAACTAATCAACACATTAAAGCAAGTAAGGAAATTCATTTAAAAAAATGACATTTCTACTTATCAACACATTAAAGCAAGTTTCACTCGTACACCAAAACCTGTATAACCTTTCATGCATTCACGATATCCTAAGAAAATATATTCCTTAGTATTAGGTTCAGATTCATCATTCTCCATGATTCACATAAGCAACACAACCAAACATTCTCAAATTTGTCAAGTGGTTTGCCCGTGAACACAAATTTAGGGCATTATCCTCATAAGGGAACAAACGGAGACATATTAATCAAATAAGCAACATAACAAATAGCTTCTCCCCAAAAATTTTTATGAGGCCAGATGAAACTATCATAGCCATCACCCTCTCTAACAAAGTTCTAACTATCCTCTCAGCTACCCCATCTTGTTGGGGTGTGGAGGGAACAAATTTATGCAAAGATATACCTTATGTATCACTTAAATCTCCTAGCTGATCATCACAAAA